CCTATTTTGTGTTTAAAGCTTCTTGCTCCTCTATTACTTTGGTATCTCTTATCCTCCTTTTTATATATATTTATATATTTTGTTGAAATAAGTAAGCTGGTTGAATCCCTTGTGTAAAGAAGGGGTTCTGAGATACACAGAATAGTTCTTTTCATGTGCATTACTATGACCCAAAACAGAAATACAACCCAGCCCAGTCAGCAGATCTGCTGCCTTCAGAAAGTGTTTTGAGGTCTGCCATCTGAAGTAATAAAGCTGCACTAATAATAAATATTCTTCTGTGGGCTTTCCATCTCAGTGGTTCCATGTGCTTTGCAGTCACTAATTAACAAGTCCTACCTTGCACAAACATACCAATTGCCAGCCTTGTTTTCAGGTGGGGACACTGAGGGAGAAAGGAAGGATATAAAGTGCAAATTCTTACAAGCAGATGAAGACACTGTCTCGTCTCCTTTGGGAGTCTGGATTTAGACATCTGTGTCAAAAAAAATTGGAAGGATAGGTAAGCAAATTTAGTCGTCTTTATCAGTGTTTAAACCTTTTAAAAGTGGTTTTCAGTAGCACAGAACATCCAGAGAGCAGCCAACATAATTGGAAACTTCTGGTATTCAGCATTTCAGAAAGCCTGGAGGGCACACAGAGCTCTCCTGTCCTTAAGCAAAGGAATATAATTTCCTTATCACACTTTAAACTGTGACTTTCCTCTAAAAGTAAAAATAGCTTTAAATCCCTTTGTGGTTTTGTGGTTCTCTGATATTGCAAATCTGCACATATGCACACAAGCAGCTTTTGAGAAAATCACCCAGTTGTTACACTTTGTCATGTGAGGTGCTGTACAAACTGAAGGGAGAAAAGACATTGCCCCACAGATTCTGGAGATGTGCAGAGAAAGAGGATGTAGAACAACACCCTCAAAATGCTGAGGATAATTAGATAGACAATTTTAGAGTGTTGTTTTCATCTTTATTTTTGGTTTAAAGTATGATGATTTAGATTTAATTCTTTCGTATTCAGCATTTACCATAAAATTCTGTTCTTATTAACTTAAAATATGCAAAACATTTTGTGTGCTGTGTTGATTTTTTTTAAATACTGCATCTGTGAACATCTGTGACAAATGCAGGAATCCAAAACATAACAATAGATTACCTCTAAATAAACTTTCTTCTGCTTCTCAGTACAAAGATAAAACCCTTTTTTTCATATTTCACAAAGGGAATATCAGGAAATCAGAAACCTGAGCTGAAAGCAGCATTTGCACTTGGCTACACGGCAATTCCTGAGTATTGACAGGCTGGCAGGAATTGAGAGCCTGAGGATGCAAATAATTAAACAGCTGAAGGGTTAATTTCTGCACCATCATCAAACAAAGCACAAAAACCAAAAATGAAGCTTTAGATGTGACCTGATGATGAGCACTTTATAGAACCCCTGGGTCTGAAGCCTGCAGGCTTTATTCCCTTGATCAGTGGAGAGTGTCACTGACATATGAGAGTGCAGAGTCTGAGTGAGAACAGAGAGCAGCTTTAACTGCAAGGTGATTTGTTCAGCTGAAAAATACACCACGAAAAAACCAGCAAACACCCAGAACGATTCATTTGTGTGTAACAGCCAGCAGAAGGATAGTCCCTGAGAGAGAAAAGGAAACAAGGGGAGCAGAGTGTTCTTTCTAATGTAAAAAGGGATTCTCTCTTTTATTTGTCTGCATCTACAGAGACCTTTGAAAGAGATGGAACTAGCTGAGATTATTACTGGATTAAGCTCTCCTGCAGTTAAAAGCTATTTTGTGTACTAACTACTGAAAGGGGAAGCAGGAGAGCAATTTTTTAACTGCTGTGGTGATTTCTGATTTCTTTTTGCTTAATGTCTGTTGAAGTCAGTCCAAGTCTGAGACTTCACACCTGTGATTTGTAATGGATGCCATAGTATTTCTCTGACATATCACAACTCCTGGATGTGTTAGTTTACAGCTCAAGAGGTGTTGGATTCACAAATTAGGTAATGGCAATAAAGATCAGATTAAATAAGTGATTACACATTTGAAAACATTTTAAATCTGTCATTTTTCATTTTATAGATTTAAACAACTTTCCTGCAATATCATCATAGGAAGAAAGGACAGAAGCAGGGAACAATTATTAAATGCCTAGAAAATGCATGTAGTGCTAAAAAACTTCTAAAATTAAAGCAAATAATACAGGACCTTTATTGGTTTCCCACTGAGTTTGAGTTGTTACATCTGGGTTTTTGACCAGCACACCAAAATTTCAACCAATGGCAAGCATTTTGTTTCCTATTCAACACTATATTAAATACTAAATCAAAGAATTATTTGCTTAGTAGGAGTGGTTCTGCACTAATATCAGCTGTTCATTGCTATTTTCTCTGGAACAGCTCCACAGGACACTGGAGCTCCATGGGGGTTGTGCTCTCACACCAGCCTGGCCTCAAGCTCCAGGAAGGGGAGGAGTGAGAGCTGTGACATCCCTGGAAGCTGATGGGTAGCACAGGCAGGACAGAGCTTGGCTGGGATTCTGGCAGGGCATTTCCAAGGTGGATTCCAAAGAAGGAAGCAAAAGGGAGAGTCTAACATTCCTTCATGGCAGTGAAGGACCACTCCACTAAATGTCATTTCTCAGGGCTTGCTTCTTACAGTAGACTGTTTAGCAGGAGTTTGCTACCAGAAATCTTTTAAAATTCTTAGCCACACATCTAATATACTTATTACTTTCCCATTAAACATTATGTCCCCAAAATAACAAAATAATAATAATGTCCATACACAAGGGACTATTTGATAAAGATTTTTTTTTTATGTCAGGTAAAAAAAAAAAAAGCATGTTGAAAATTACGCTGATGAGTGAACTCTTCTTTGAATCATTTAGTGGAGAAATCCCTTACTAATGTCCTGAGGGAACTGCTGACAGTGTGCAATAATTTCTGGTTCAGCGCAGCAGATTACAAGATATCTTGCATTTTATGAAATTCAGGGAAATGCTTCTTTTGTACTCTGAGGTCCATCCGTGAGCTCCCTGGTATGCTTCCAGAAATTAAAGGGCCTGTGACTCTTCTTTTTTCAGCTGCAGTGGATGGCTGTGGCTGTGAGCTGAGGTACTGTGTGACTTTCTGCTTCACTGCCTTCTACTCCCCAAAGTCCAGCTTCTCCAATTATGTAGCATTTGTTAAATTCACCTTTGAAGTGAAACACAGTTACTTCCACAATAATAGTGGAGAGTAAGGTTCATGAGAATGTGTGAAGATTTCAGATGAAGCTCGTTCACCTTTAGCATTCCTCCCACTGCAACCTGCTTTGTAAAGCTTTTTCTCCATTGTTTTACCTTTATTCTGCTCATTGCTTCAGTGTCATTTTTACCACACATAAATAATGACATTCAGTGAGAATTTCACCCAGCCAGTGTGGAGTTCATAAGATCAGGGAGATTTTCCCCCTAACTACAGCCTTGCCCCATGATTCTGCATCCCACTGAACTGCCCTGGTCTGCCTGGCCCTCTGGGGACTGCTGTCTCTCTCAGAATATGTAATAGCAGTCAGTGGAGTAATGAATCCCCATGCAAGCATCAAAGCAAACATGGAATAAGTGGCTCCTGGGATGTGAAACTGCAAAGAAAAGAACTCTGCTGGAGTACAGAAGAACAAAGCCCCTGCCAATACTCCCTTAACTTGTCCATACTGTGAAAAACCATCCAAATTTTTCTCATAGAGATACTGAAACCCAGACTAGGATTTTTGACAAATTGGGAAAGCTTTTAAAAGCATCAAGCAGAGAGCATGCATTGTTTTTGTAGGAATGTTCTGTATTTCATTATGTGAGAACACTGACAAACACATTATTTAGCAGATTAGCACTTTTGGCTTTAGTTTCCAAAATGAGGAATGAACAGCCCTTGGCTATGCAGTTCATGAGCTGGTTTTGCTCAGGGATGCTCAGTGTAACACGGGCTGCTCACGAGTTCTTGAAGCTGGAAGCTGAGAAAAACAACATGGTGCTTTTGAGGTCTTTAGTTACTTATTACCAGCAAGGCCTCATCAAGCAAAGCTCTCGTCTCATTTGATCCAAGAACTGCATATTCTTCTTCCACCACGGTCTCTGAACTTGAAATAGAAGTTTATGTTCCATGTGCCATCTGGATCACAAGGTCCTGTGAAAGCTAGAATGCAAGAATGAAAGTTGAAAGGATAATATTATTTACAAAATAAAGAAGGATTTTTTTTTTACGAACTTTATTTAGTTTTAATTTTAATAAAAGTTTTCTTGCCTCACTGTAGCCTGCCATGTAACCTTCCCTAATGAGGTGGGTACAAATTAGGAGCTGGCAGGAAATTGCTTCGCAAGCACTCAGAAACCGTGTGACAACATTTGCATAGTCAAGAACATTTTCAGACTGCAGTGACACAGTGCTGTTACCTGCCCCCTCCTGCAGGGAAAGGCAAGGTTTGAGCTCCCAGGTACCTGCACTCACACCCCTCAGTGCATCCACAGCCAGCTGCAGAACAGACCTGCCTTAACTATTCTTGTGTTCAGCCACTTACAGGTGCTGGCTCAGCACATCTGTGCAGGTTCAAATCAGTACAGCTGGGAGGAGAAAAGGAGGTAAGGATGAAAGCCTTCATTGCCTGAAGCCAGAATTTGTCTTTGCTCTGAGCTCTGCAGGTTCATTCCCTTCTTGCCTTGCACTGTGCCCTTTGCCATTGCCTCTCTTGAGCAGAGGTGTCCTCTGACTTGCAGAGAGCTTGGTGGAGGTGGCTGAGTGCAGATTCATCACTGGAGAGTCTCATATACTCAAGACAGCACTTTGAACTGTCATTGCCCAAGTGAGCTGTGGACAGGCTGCACTTCAAACAGCTTCAGTATTGGGCAAATCCAGCATTAGTCAGAAGTGGTTCTGAGCTCATTCCATAGGACATGGAAGCACAAAAAAGTACTGGGATTACAGCTGTCCTGCTCGGTGTTCATTTGTCAATTGTGTCCCTTGTTCAGGAGCAGAGCCAGAGATGGATGACTGCCTGGAGACCCTGAAAGATGAGGAGGAGGCTTTGTGGGAGAATGTGGAGTGCAACCGGCACATGCTGAGCCGCTACATCAACCCAGCCAAACTGACCCCCTACTTACGGCAGTGCAAAGTCATTGATGAGCAGGATGAGGATGAGGTGCTCAACTCACTCATGCTGCCCTCCAAAATTAACAGAGCAGGTAATTATCTGATCAGTGGCTGCATCTCTGTCTGAATGGCTTTGCTCTGTAAGTCTGGAGAGTGCCTGAATCAAGTTAAAGATTATCAGATGGAAACTCTTTTATCTTATTTACAGGAGGTTTAAAGTACAGGGGGATTCTGCTGCTATTTTGATAACAAAGACTCTTTCCAGTGCTGCACAGACTGGATCTTGTGGAGTTCAAATTTCCATCAAAGACTTGGAAAATATTTCAGTTAACACAAGCAGCAGGCAGTGCCATTCCAGGAGTAGCTTTTCAGCTGTCTTGCTGTACTTTGTGATTTGTCACTGGAAGATCTACCATCCCTGTCTGGTAAAGGCTGCATTGAATAACTTGTCCTTAGAAATTTCTGTTCCAGAGACCAATTTTCCCACACTCCCTCAGAATAACGATCAGCACAAACATATAGAATTGGTGGCATTGCTTTATGGGTTCAGCTGAACTCAGTTAATCAGCCAGATTTTGCACAGCTCGTTGCTGTGGCAGAGATGAAGCTTAGGAACCTCAGGGGTGTGGTATTTGCTCGTGCTGCTCGTGGGGCTGATGTGTCACCTCTGTGCTATCTGTACCCAGGCCGACTGCTGGACATCCTCCACACCAAGGGCCAGAGGGGCTACGTGGTGTTCTTAGAGAGCCTGGAGTTTTACTACCCTGAACTCTACAAACTGGTGACAGGGAAAGAGCCTACACGGAGATTTTCCACTATTGTTGGTGAGTAGAATCAATCACAAGGGAGTTGTTATAAGTAAGGACTCTCTGGAAGACTGGCTTGGTTTTTTTCAGGCAAGAAGTGGAAATAAAAGCTGATCTTGGTTTAGAATGCTTTTCAGTCCCCTTCAAAGCAAAATGTGGTAGGTAATATATAAAGCAAAGGGACATCCCAGCTGTCTGAATGAAGCTGAAGAGCTTCAAATGGAATGATAGGCATTACCAGAATTCTCAAGAGAAGCTATGTTGGAACAGTGGACTGAATTACACTGATGACCTACACATGTGCAGCACATTTGAAGCATTCAGATTAATTGTACTTTCACAGATTCATTGCACAAAGGTTGTGCTATTTCTACAGGCTCAGCTGAAACAAGACAAATGTGAAGGCTTCATCCTCTATCTAGGCAAGCTGTCAGTGTGTATGTTGTGATTGTGATACCATTGTGCTGTGTAATATTTGCACTGTTCCCAATTAGACATACAGATGTGTGAGAATTTGTGTAAATTCTGCACTTCTGTACATATTCTGGGCCATTTGTTTCTTACACGTTTGTTTCTGCTGATCCTACTTATTACATTATTAATAAAACAAATTAAATAAGTTACTTTACCAGACACTGATAAGCTGCTCAAACATTTTCAGTGGAGGAGGGACATGAAGGCCTTACCCATTTCCTAATGAATGAGATCATCAAGCTTCAGCAGCAGGTGAAGACAAAAGACGTGCAGCGCTGTGAGCTCCTAGCCAAATCCCGCCAGCTGGAGGATGAGAGAAAGCAGCTAAAGCTGAACAAGATAGAGCTGCTGACCTTCCAGGAGAGATACAACAAGATGAAGGAGGAGAGGAATAACTACAACGATGAGCTGGTCAAGGTGAAAGATGAGAACTACAATCTGGCCATGAGATATGCCCAGCTGAGTGACGAGAAGAGTATGGCTGTGATAAGGAGCCGGGACCTGCAGCTGGAGGTGAGATAAATGCTCTGGGCAGCAATGGAGGGTACCAGTGGCATCTGGGAAAATGAGACGTCCTCTGACAGCAGGACGATGTGGAGCTCTCATTTGTTTTGCTTATCCAGATGATTGAAGGCATCACTGTACAGAAATGCCAACCACAGTGAGGTGTATTAATGGCCAAAAAATGAATTTACAAAATAGAATGCAAGTAAAAATAACATTTAAAACATAACTGCTTGCTAAAAACATAGTTTTAGCTTTTTTAGGCTCAGTAATATCTTGGTACAGTTATCCAGCAGCACTACAGCTGCTGGGGATTTATTCAGAAAGATATCCTGAATTTTCTCCTGTTTTTTCCTGATCCAAATAGTCCATATGCAAAAAGCATAATGTGTGGTCTGCCTCTTAGGTGTTCATTCTATTTTATATCTCTTTATTTATTTATATCTCTAAATTTATTTATAAATAAATTTATTTATTTATAAAAGTGCCGCTTTTTTAGTCCAGGTATTCTGAAATTTCACAACCAGCCCATATGAGCTGTAGCTGGCAAGTAGCAGGCTTGTACTTGAGACTTCACCTGTTCAGTTGTGGACATTCAGCACCCAATTGTCAACTTCTCATTAACATTCACAGTTTAAGCTATTTTCCCCCATATGTTTTCCACCTGGAAGTGAGAGCTTTTTCAGAGCACTAGATGTCAGAGCTAGGGAGGATTCCCTTCCTCTCCTCTTTCTCCTTTTCGCTGCTCCCTGGCTGCTCTAGATTGACCAGCTGAAGCATCGCTTGAACAAGGTGGAAGAGGAGTGCAAGCTGGAGAGGAACCAGTCTTTGAAGCTGAAAAATGATATTGAAAACCGACCCAAAAAGGAACAGGTTCTGGAGCTGGAGCGGGAAAATGAGATGATGAAGACAAAAATCCAGGAGTTACAGTCCATCATTCAGGTATAAAAGCAGCTTGCTGCCTTTAAAATCCAAACTCACACATACTCCAGTTACAGTGCAGGAAGTGTTGGCTGAAACCTCTGCCTGCAAAGCTGCAAGCAGCGTAAGTGCAAAGTTTGGACAAACAGAAGGCTGCTTGTACAGCTCCCAGCTGCCTGGAGTGCTCCCTGTACAGATACATGCATGAGGAGGAGTTCTACAAAAATAGTCTGCTAAAAAAATCAAGTGTACATGAAAATTGGCTCTTCCAAGAGTGCAGTGTTTAATTGCTGAACATTGTAGCAGCCTGTCACTACAAATCTGTGTTAAATAGCCAGCACAGAAATTTCTGACAGGGGCTCAATGTACCCCATGTTAGGCTGTTGTCGTATCTCTGCCAAAAGTTTTTAATGAAGCAGAGGATGATAAAGGTTCCTGTACTTGAGTGGTCACTAAGAACCAGGGTGCAGAACCCCTCTGTAACCTGCACAGGGAGCTTCACCAATCTGTGTTTGGGCAGGTAGGGAAAACAGTTAATGTGTAGCACATTTAGCACTCCTCTGTGAAGAACTTTGCCAAATATTGGGATATATGTGAGATTACTTAGCACTCTGTTAGAAAAGGCTTGTGGCATTTTAAAATGACACTTAAAAATTATCAATAGGAGGCCTTTCAGAAATGGCTGTAGCCTCTAGCAGTGCCTAACGATTCTTAGTTCTAACACAAATCCAATTCAAAGGTTGAAAAAGAGTGTAGGATTGAAGATTCTGGGAGTTCTGGTCCATGTAGGTCTCTTATATTAATTGAAATGGTTTTATAGCACTTAGAGAAATAGCTAAAAATAGGATTTAAATTCTCCTAAGTGAAAGTATAAATAAACTCGAACCAGTTTGGTTTAAAAATGCTTAGGTATGCTTAGAAATACTGGATAACCAAAATGTCCCTGAAATCTCCAACTCAGTCTAGGTATTTCAAAAATAAACAGGCATATTCCTTGCTAGCATTTTATGCTTTTTTCATCTTCCATTTATGGTTCATTTTGGATGGCAATAATGTGTTGGAACCTGCTTTGGTAATCTTGTTAATTTTAAATCTGAAAGAAATTATATTCCTGGACAATGTAGAAAATGAAGCAGTAGTACAAGGTACTCCAGGCATGTTTAATATTCTCTGAGCACAGCCCTGAAAAGCCTGTGCATGCCTTAAAAATTCTCCTGAATATTTTCTTAGGCCCTGCTCTTTTGAAAAGGGTGATTTTTGTGCTCAGTTAGAGCTGATTAATAGAAAAGAATTTTGAATGCAGGGCTTGGAGTGAAGAATTGTCACTGCATTCAGACCAGATCAAATTATAGCCAGTACAATAGACCAGTAAAACAGTTCCTTCATCAGACTATTCTGACAGCAAGACAGATTTTATTCATCTTTTCCGACTCTGCTTTAAAATGTGAGCAAATGTCCATTTCTTCACCTGCTTTCCCATTGCAGTACCTTGTTCTTCTGCTATTCCTCTTGCTTGTTATTGTCTCTGATACTTCTCTCCCTGCAAAACTATCTTCTCTTTGCCTGGTCTGGCTCTAAAAACTGTCTTTCCTCAGGCTGACAAGAGGGGTTTGCCAGATTCAGACAAAGCCATTTTGGATATTCTGGAACACGACCGTAAGGAGGCACTGGAGGATCGTCATGAGCTGGTCAACAAGATCTTTAATCTCCAAGAGGAGATTCGTCATGTGGAGGACTTGAGAGACAAGGTGAGGAATGGAAGGGTAGAGAGATGGAATGTCTCAGGCTGGTGGCCAAAATGCCTCTGAGAGCAGTGGTGGTTAACAGTGTGTCATTTCCAGTATCTTGAGGAGAAAGAAGATTTGGAGTTAAAGTGCTCAACACTAGGAAAAGACTGTGAGATGTACAAGCACCGTATGAACACTGTGATGATACAGCTGGAAGAGGTGGAAAAGGAGCGGGACCAGGTATCTCACAGTTAAAGTAGGGGAAAATCAATAGCAAAAGCCTTTGTCTGCTCTGTGTCACTTTGGGGAATTGTAGGTAATTGGACCCAAAATACCATTATAAAATAAGCAGTTAAAAGAATCACTTGTTGGGATTTGCATTATGGTAATTAAACACAGGGTAATGTTGGGTTGTTTCCACAGTGTAGCATCTGGCAGGCAGGACCAGGATCTTAACAGCAGCTCCTGCAAGGCTTTATGTCAGTGTCAAGTCACCCCATTTGCACTCTGGGACATTTTTCCACCAACCCAGAGGGAGCTGTAAATGAACCACCCTCATCATCATAATAATCATCATCATTTTTAATGGTGCTACCGTGTCTCATCCTGGTCATGATTGCTGTGTTAGTGGGTGACTGGGTGCCACTTCTGAAGTCCCCATTGCCAACACCTTACAAACAAAAGCAGAGGAGGAGGGTCTGGTGCCCCGGTGCCAAAGCGGTTTCCTGCCCCTGCTGCAGGCGTTCCGCTCGCGCGACGAGGCTCAGACCCAGTACTCCCACTGCCTGATTGAGAAGGATAAATACAGGAAGCAGATCCGGGAGCTGGAGGAGAGGAACGACGAGCTCCGAATCGAGGTGGTGCGTAAGGAAGCGTGCATCGTCAACCTGGAGTGCAAACTCCGGCGCCTCTCCAAAGACAGCAACTTCCTCGACCAGGTACAGCTGAGCAATCATCTGAGACATCATCTCCTTTGTTAAGACTTGCTTTTGCAAATATTTTGGTCTGGAAGGGAGAGAGGATTTTTCTAATTCTTTACATGAATTAACTGGAAAAAATAATCTCCTCCTACTAAATGTTAGTGTTGTGAATTCTTTGCTATAGTGTTTTTCAAGTTGTCGGCACATGGCTTCCCAAGGGCTGCACTTCCACAGCTTGACTTTAAATGGCATGGATAAAAATGCAGAAAAACAATTATTTTCTACACTGAGGTAGAAACTACAAATATTTTTTAGGAATGTGAGTGAAAAAAAAATTAGTCTGTGAACAGAAATCCCCACAAATCTCAGCCCAAATTACTGATTGGGTCTGGAGCCACATTCTACTTGAGCTTCTGGAGTGCTGGAGTTGCAATAGGTTCAATCAGATTACTCTAAAGGAAGGTCATGGGTTGTAATAAAGAAATAAAGTGTTCCCCTCTGATCTTTAGAGTTTGCCACGGAATCTTCCCATTACCATTATCTCCCAGGCCTTTGGGAATTCTGGCCCAAAAGCCAACGGTCAGGAAGCTGATGACTCCTCCACTTCTGAGGACTCTCCAGAAGACAACAAATTCTTCTTGCCTGATCAAGTTCGTCTCAAGAGAAGAGTGAACCTAAAGGGGATCCAGGTGTGTGTGAATCTGAGGCTGGAATGACACAGAACAGGGACTTTTAGAACTATCAGATATAACACATGTTGTGTCTGTGCCTCTGAAACTGCTATAAAGATAAGAATAGATCCGTGGATGATAGTGAGCTGTCAGTTTTTGCCCTGTGGTGATTTGCATCTTGAGGAGCAGATCTAATCAGGCTTCATAGACTGTTTTCTGTTTTCTTCTCGCTTCTGCTGTTCATTCACATTCTTGGAGCGTTGTCAATAAATCAATTCTTTGCCTCCTTAACATTTGTGGAAAAAAAGAAAATTACATAATGCCGGAGGTCCAACACACGCAGAAGGTGAAAAACGAAGCATTGGTGGAAAAGCTCTCAGCAGCTGGAGGGAAAAATATAAAGAAATGGACACAATCTAGAGCAAAATTAGCTATCTAATTTAGAATTAAATTATGGCAATTTCCTCACCCCTAACAGGAAGAGGTAGCATGAGTTAGGTTCATGCTTTCCCTGACTAGCTGCATTCACATGGCTATTATCTGATGCTGGATTCTTGAACTGTAATAAAACCCCACAAAAATCTAACATTCGGGCTTTTGAGGTTCTCTTTCTTTTCATCTGCATTTGAATTCTCCCTGCCCTTCATAACCTTTCTGAGCTCTGACTGTCATTATTACTTATGACGATAGAGCTGCATTTTTCACATTGCACACTCCAAAAGGATGCCTGTTGTATTAACAGCAGCCTGAAACCAGTTCCAAGGCACCCACTTCACCTTTTGTCTCTTTGTTTCTTCAGCAGAATCTGGAAGCAATGCATTTGGGCCAGGCATTCAAAAGTAGTCAGGTAGCTCATCCTTCATCACTGCTGTGGTATTTAGATACCTAAATATGTTCTAAATTTTGGGTCCTGTTTTTTAAAGGAGGGCAAGTATATTACAACATAACAGTGAAAAAAGGTGATGAAAATATCTGGTTTACAGTGTGTGGTAAATATTCTGCATTTGTGCTGGTTTTTGTCCTCTTTCTTATAGATAAGTCCAAGAGCTAAATCCCCTGTCAGCATGAACAAAACATCAGACTTTCAAGGTCAGAAAGAGCACCCATGTCCTTATTCCTTTTCCATTGCTTTGTCTCTTTCACTAAATCTCTTTAAGTTGTTTTAACAAATATGCCAACCAGGGAAGATTTTAACTAAGTCCAAGTCAGTAAAAAAAAGCTAACACTTTCTCTCACAGTTACAAATGTAATGATTTCAAATAGTCAAGTGTTCTACTTCATTGTCCTCTCCATCCCAAGATACCTCCCCAGGCACACAATGTGCAGCCCACAGCTTAGCTAATTTTTCTGTTTTCTCAGTTTTCCATTTAGTTTACAAAAGTTGTAAAGTCATTTGTGTAACATCTGTACTAAAAATCATTATACCATTCTCTTTTTGCTGTTGGAAAAATCATTCAGGCTGAAAAGGCCCTAATCTAGTGATTGTCTAATGAGCTCCTTTGTCCTTCAGCAAAAGGGAATTAATTTTAAATCTAAAGCATTGCAAAGGCTGGGAGAGGGGGATTGACCCATGCCCCAGCCAGCTGCCAAGTTACCAAATTTGTTGCTGTACATTCATGTTTGATCTATTCGTAATTCCTCTTGTTTGTGTAACACTACCCCTCCAACACCAAACATCAGAGACAGCGTTTCCTTCAGTAGTTGTGTGTGCCCCTGTTGGACAAAATATCCTGGGAAACACAGCTCCTGCTCCAAGGAACTCCATGTTAAACAGCAGCTTTGCTGTCAGGCAGTGTGCAACATTAGTATCAATCAGAGGTGCTGAGGAAGGGAAGGAGTCCACATTCACTCTGTGTTACCTGGGGCTGCTGATGGATCTCAGGCTTCTTGGTCCCTGTTGTAAATTCTTTGTTGTAACAAAATGTAAATCTATGAGCCAAACTTGCAGGATGTCAGGTTCAGGTGGTGAGATTAAAACATAAATTCATGAAACAATCCTTCTTTAATTTGTCAAATAGCATTCACAGATCTATTACAAACATCTAGGACAGAGCTGAGAGACAAAGCAGGCAGGAGTCTGTGTAGAAGGGTGGGAATTTCTGTGCTTTGCCAGGGAAGGAATGGGAGCCAGAGCTGCAGGGCAGGTGTGTGTCTGGGGCCCCTGTCCAGTACAAGACCAGCAGAAATGGAAAGAGAACAAGTGCAGTGGCACATCTGTGAAAGGCTGTGCACTGGAAATGTTCTGACATGCTTCTCTCTGGTGTGTTTTCTCTGTGTGTTTCCCTTGTCTCGTGAGTGCAGCAGTCAGAGCACAGGATGAAGATGGGGCTGAGGGCAGCACCAGCCGCACGGACACAAGCTCCTCTGTGTCCATCAGTAACTCCATCAGCAGCTGTGAAGTCACCAAGATTGTAAGGATGCCCCTTGTCTGTCTACAGCCATCTCTCCTAATGTGGTTCAGAGCTTTCACAACTCAGTATTAGCACTTCCCCAGCATCCCAGCTGCGATCCCATTCAAGGCCCTTGTCAGAAGCTCCCTTAATCCTTTTACCAGCATTTTGTTAGAACTGTGTTATTAGCCTTTCCCAAAATCACAGAATTGGTTTATGTTTATTTAAAGATATTTCAGAGTATTTATGACCTCTTGCTGTCTCCTTATACCATTTAACATTTACTTTTAGAAGAATGAGATTTGCTTTAAAAGCTGCTTTGTAACTTATCTGAGAAAATTTTAAGGGTTTTTTGAGTTCTATAATGCTTTTCCTGTCTATAAGTAATAGTAAGTGAGGAAAGGGGTGCAGATCACAGTTGGAAATTTCTGCATACCATAGTCAAACCATTTCTTCCCTGCTTGCTGTATCCCCATAATCTTCCAAGGTAGATATTCCATTATACATATGTGGGCACTGACACAGCAGGACAGGCAGATAGAGAGAGTGCTCTTGCAGAGTGTTAATAACAAAGAACAAAACATCTTTCTAGAACACCGTGAAAAATGCTGCCCCCAGGAAATTAAAATTATACTCAAGAATAGCCAGGAAAGAACTTGCTGCCACTTGTAATAAGCTTAGCTGGGTTAGGAATATTTTTTGGAATATCTGTTGGATGTTTAGATGACTTATACTGTCTTCCCCCTATTGCAATTCTGGGTTCAGTTTCCAGTGTACTGGAGGATTAATTATTTAATATATTGAGATCAGTATTTTTATTCCTCATTCCAAATACATATATATATTTGTATAAGCACACATACAGCTTTTCATCCCCCTCCTCCTATGTCTGTGCCACACACAAAAGTAAAGTTACAATGGCTCAGTAAATGAGGCAGTTATGTGGTCACAGGAGAAGGTGCAGTGGCAGCACACAAGCTGTGCATTGTGCTAAAAATTGGGATATACAAGTGCTCTTGCATTCTGCACAGCTAGAATCAACTTCTCTTCTTTTTCTGTGTGTGTTTCTCAGTGCAGAGTGCAGCCAGTGCAAAGCACCATTGCTGATGCTGCTGTGAGTTAGAAGTTAGAACACATTTCAGCCAGATAACCTTTCTGACACCTTTTCTGGCTCTCTTTCAAAGCAAACCCTGCGAAGTCGCAACGACAGCATCATGTCGACCACCCCGGAGCCTCCCGGGAACGATTCCATCGTGCGGCGCTGCAAAGAGGACACCCCTCACTGCAGGTGGGTCACACGTGGGGAACCCTGCCCTGAGCCTGATGGCACCAGGACAAGGGAAAAAGGGCTGTAGAGGTCCTCGTGTTTGCCTCTGGTTGAAGAGGCATAGGATTAACTCAAACTTCTCAAGGCTCAGCCCCTCGTCCCGCATTTTGTCCAAAGCACTCAGGAGTGTCTGACAGTGCAGCTGGGATGAGTGACACAGTGATAGCACTGCAGCACTGACTGGAATGGACAGAAACACAAACAGGATTGGAATGACTTGGCACTGATGCTGTTGGAGAAAGTGCTCTCTCTACCTCTAGACACAGCTTCAGTTTTTGCCCCTCATCTCCATGCTGCCCACGTCCCTGTTCTTTCCCCTTCTCTCAAAGCCCCCCCTTCACTCTGTAAGCTGCCAGAGTAGAGCAGAGCTGCTTGCACATCTGTGAGGAGTGGAGGGGAGAAGTGGAGGAGGAAGGTGGTTTTTGAGAGTCTCAGGGTCTGTTTCTCAGCAGAGAAGGGAGGGGAGAGAGGCTTTGCCCTTGGCTTCACCTTCTGCTGCAGCTTCCACTTCTGTCAGGTCAGGGTCCCATGGACTTCCCCTGGCAGTGAAATCACATCAGCTGGCGAGTGGGAAGTTGGAGGCAGGAAGGAGAGAGACCTCTCCAGCCTCACAGTTCCTGAAAGGACACTGACCCCTTTTCTAAAAGGTTTTTTGCAATGTGATACTCAGACACGCTATGTTGGTGTGGTGTCAACAGCATCAGTGTCTGCATCAGAAATACCAGGAGACACAAATACATTCCCTAAAGGTCTCAAGCAGAAGGAGAAAATAACAGAGCAGACCAATTTAGAAGAAAGCAATATAGTTGGGAGTTTAGATCTTTATTAGCTCTGTTTTTAATATCTAATCTTTATTAGAACTTTATTCAGATTTTTATGTTTTTCAAAACAACCTGATCTTGGGCAGACTTCCAGTTCTGCCTTTCTCTCTGGATAGGTTTGCAAGACAGCTTTCCACTGAGGCCATCCTCAGCTGGTTCTCCCACATCATTTTCTAGGCTGCTGAGGATTTAAGCAGTGTTTATTTTAGTCTCCCTTAGCTTCTACTTTATTGTCCTCCAAGTCCCTTTTTATAGTGTGTTGTATTAATTCAAGATGGAGAAATGGGTTTTTTTATTAATGATTTGAATGTTTTGTGCTGCAGGTGCTTGAGAAGCCTTTGCATTGTCTGAACTTTTCAATATTTGCAGTGTATTACAGAACACAGTAGAGATTACATGGAGATTATTCATCTTGTGGATTTATTTCACTGTAACTCTGACTCTATTTTGTCCTGTGTGGTAAGGCATTGGAAGATTGAGTTGTACTGAAAGCAGAATTTTTTCCTCATATTAGATATTCTTCATGTGGAAAGAAAAGGTACTCTGGAACAGGTCTGAATGTGGGCTTACTTTGTTGAGCTGATAATCACCAAAGTCAAGAGTCTCAAGAGTCTGCCCAAACGTTCACTGTAGTTTATAACTTTATAATTAGCATGATAAATTTTTGGAACTTATTTGTGAACATAATACAGAATAATTGCTGTTTGCAAGCCAAGTTGCAGGTTTCACAGTTCATCTCTTCTTAATTTGTGTGAAAAAAAAGGTGAGATCATCATTTAATGTAGGAAAAGGTACATTATTTCCCTGCTTATGCATAGTGTAAAAATAGCTGATACTCTGCAGCCTGGCTGCAAAAATTCACCCTTCAGCTGAAGCCAAATATGAGGAATATCAGCTCCACAGGAGACCTACAAATCATTTTGAATGTGAAAAACAACAAGCTGTTATTTAAACAGCTTTGCAACCAAAGGACGTGCTTTAATGAAGTCCTTCTAGTGAAGCTGACAGATCACTCACTTGACTGGACAGCCCCAATACCCCTGTAAGAGCAAAATTTTAGTGAATTTAGAGTGGTTTTAAGGCCAGCCAACCTGATCACCTTTGCAGGAATGGCTGTGTCACTGGGAGCTGGGCTGGGTCCAGAGCTGTGGCAGTTCCTGTGCAAAAGCCCGGAGCACTTTGCCTGCAGGTACCTGAGTAGCCATGCAAGGTACCCTGAAACTGCTATAAAATGCTTCAGGTACTTTAAATCAAGCAGGGAAATTACTCCTGTTGTACCTCAGTAACTTTCCTTGCAGTCACTCTGTCCATAAGTGAACTTGTGGCTTTTTGCTCCGTAGTGGAAAGCCCCCATGGTGCAGTGCATGCATAGCAGGCATGGTGCAGCCCTGTGTCCGTGCTGAACCAAGTGTGCTGGGAGTCACACACCAGACCATCAGTCAGCAGCTTCCTCTTGTCCTCAGCAAAATCTGCATTCCCTCACTGCTGTTGGCAGTTCTTCCTTCTGAACCTTCTTGCTGCTTCCCATGCTGGCTGACACACGTCTTCTGCCCTTTTCTGTGTCTTCTCTGGACCCTCAAGGATGGATGTTACTTGCTTATTTTTTCACAGCTGCACCATTGCCTGATGCAACACCTCCAACATCTTCCTTTTTCACAGAAGTTCCTCCTTCAGAGCTTAATGAAATCTACTGAAGCTGGCAATCTGCTGAAAGCTTGAAAGTGTTCAGCTTTCTCTCTCTTCCATTATCTCATGCTTTGTTTTTAATTCCAGCCTGGCTGAAGAGGACAATGACAGCTTTGGATGTGATGCTTTAGAGCTGGATGGTAAGCAAGAGGATATAATTTATAATTGAATTATGAGCTAATATATGATCAACTCCCCAGCTACAGAGACTGTCAGATAATCAGCCCTGCTCTAAGTAAATGGGACACAAAGCCTGAGAGTAAATCAAGAAAACAAAGGGTCAGAGAGAAGGGGAAAGCAGTCACTCCTGAAGAGTGAAGTTGGAAAAGGGTTAATTTTGTTACCATGAGGGTGGTCAAACACTGGAACAGGATTGTCCAGACAGTTTTAGTCAAACTCTTCATCCTTGGAGATACCAAAAGCCAGCTGGACAAAGTCCTGAGCAATCTCCTTGAGCTGACCCTGCACTGAACTTTGACTTGACAGTCTCCAGAGGTCCCTTCCCACTTACTGTTCTATGAGAGTGGCATTCCTTGTGACACATCCTGTGGATATTAATCATACCTCTGTGAGAAGAATTTCCTACTTCAGCTGTGGCTGGGATCAATTAAAATTTATTTTCCCCTTTTCCATCTTTGTCATTTTATCTAGGACTTGTTATAATTCTTGTTACTCTTTCCAGATGACAGTCACGACAGGCAGTCACACGGAGCTCCTTCAGTGCACTCTTCCTCTTCTTCTCATCAGTCAGAAGGCCTGGATGCCTATGAGCTTGAGCATGTCAACTCCATATTTAGAAAGTTCTCACTGGAAAGGTATTTGAGATGCCAGTTTACTTCCCTTAGAGACTGAGAGGAAAGGGTGCTGTGGTAGAAATTCTCTATTTATTTATTAGTTGCTGAAGTTATAACAGCAGAAGTGATTATAGTGGCAGCAGTATAACATTATCTTGGAGCCCTTTCATGTACTGTAAACCCGTGAAGGTCATCCTGAAAGTTCAAAAACTTCAAGGCAGACAAAATGTTCTAAAGGCTTCAATTTCTCCTTGTGATCTTGCTATCTTGCTGCAAGAGCTTGCTGAGTGGAGAGCTGTTATACACTGAGTTTTCAGAGATGCACTGGGAGCAATCCAGATGCTCTTCTCCAGAAATGATGCAGTAATGAGGAGGATTTCTTTTGGAGTCCTTAGATCCCAGTGCTTGATAATGCTAGAAGTTTATTTGTATATCTCTCATTTATCTTGCATGCATTTAACTCAGAGTGAGATAACCAATTGTGCCTTCCTCTCATGGACACAGACCCTTCCGTCCCTCTGTCACATCCGTGGGCCGCATCAGGAGCTCGTGTCACACGATCCAGCGCGTGACACTCAACGGGGACAGCCTCAACTCCGAGATCACCCTGCTTGGGGGCAATGACAAAGGCAGCTTCGTCAGCTCTGTCAAGACAGGCTCCCCTGCAGAGAAAGCTGGCCTTCGGGAGGGACACCAGATCCTCCTGGTGAGCATGAAATCATCACCAAGCAGCACTGGGAGTCTGCCCACCCACCTGTGCTGTCCCTGGCATCCCATGAGCCATATTCAACAGTGTTTATGCCAAGTTTCTCTTTACCTAGTTTTCCCTCCATTGCCAATGCTCCCAAACCATTTTCCTGTTTAAATGCCTCCAAGAGGGAAAAAACACCCCCTCACAATTTATATTCCTGCACTTCTTACTCCCAGGGCAGCCTGGGATTGTCCAAGTGCTGCATTTCTGTTGACTACTAGCATTCCTAATTTGAGAGAAAAAGAATTATATAATTAGGATATAATATACATCCTGATAACAAAGTGTCTGCATTGTTTAATAAGAAAAAGATCATGGCACTTTAAAAAAATGGTTTAATTGACTCAGAGATTGAACTTGCACTGGAGAGTAATATGTCTTTCATATCTAGTTGGAGGGCTGCATTAAAGGGGAAAATCAAAGTGTTCCTTTGGATACTTGCACAAAGGAAGAAGTTCACTGGACAATTCAGAGGTGCAGTGGTCCAGTAACACTCCAGTATAAATCAAATCATGAAGGTAAGACCAAAAATATTTCTTATCTCAAGTAGTCTCAGGGCTTTTATAGCAACTTGTCTGGAAGAGAATGACAGGACCACCATATCCTTTATATTGGGATAAATCTGGAGCATGCCACTGATGTTAATTACAGCTCCTCTGTGGAACTGCTTCAGCTTTTAGCCTGGTATCTGAGGAAAAAAACAACATGTGCTTGTCAACAGGATTCTGAAAAATTTACATGGTGGCCAATAGCAACATGACTCATGAAACATGCTCTAGCTTATTTTTATGTACAGTTTTCTGCAATACAATGTGGCAAGCTGAATGATCTTTATGCAGCTGGTCGATTTAGCATTTACCTGATGGAGTTGCCCTGTTTATTGCCTTTGTGGCTTTATCTTATCTTTAACATCTGGAGTTCATGTATGGCGAACAGAATTTGATTTTAGTGTTCAGGTTCTATAATGATAATTTCAGGTTATGGATCAAAAAGTACATTCCAAAATCCATTTTTTACTGATGTGTATAAATGGGCATTCATGATTTTATGTTGGTTAGAGAATTTCAGCTGCATAGATCGCGCAGGAAGTGATGCCTTTGATTTTCTTTGATGTTTTCAGTGGTAGGAAAGACTATTGCAATTTTTTGAGCATCACTTAACTGCAGTTAAAGCATGTTATAGATTCTGGGAGTGCCAATTAGAGCTAATAATAAGGGGAATAGCTTGTCATTAAAATTGCTAGCAGAACTCACATGGTACTTAGAGGGCAGAGCTATGGCTGTGTCTGTGTCTTTGCTGAGTTCTCTGTTCTACAGGTCATGTGGCGAGTACTGAGAATGGAGTTACCTAAAAGTAGCATTATAATGAGAATATTCCCACAGAGCTGACAGCAGCAGCTTGGGCTGTCCCTGAGTCAGTGTCCCATCAGTGTCTCTGAGGTGCAGGCCCATGATCTTGTTGGAGCTACTGCAAGCAGCGCTCTGGAAGTACAAACCTCTCGGAGAGGAACCTCAGGAGTTCGTTCTGTGGCTTCTCCCAGAGGGAATGCAGCAAGAGCAGAGTGTGGGATCCTGCCTCACCCCTTCCCTCCCTGCTGTAGGGTACCGCAAGCTGCTGTCGGAGCTGGAGGAAGGGCTCATCACCTCGGGGGACTCCTTTCACATCCGCCTGAACCTGAACATCTCCAGCCAGCTGGACTGCTGCTCCCTGTCAGTGAAATGTGATGAGATCGTCCACATTCTCGACACCATGTACCAGGGCAGGTGTGAGTGGCTGTGTGCCAGGGTGGATCCCTTCACTGACAGGGACCTGGAGATGGGGACCATTCCCAGCTACAGCAGGTGAGAGTGATACTGAGTGACCATCACTGAGAACAGGCATCTAGAAACAGGGAACTTAATTACTGCTGTAAGGAAAGAGGTGTCTGTGTCTTAAATTTTGAGATAGGGTATGATGTTAAATTGTAGTATGAGCTATAAAACTTAAGAATGGAGATTCCAGATGCTACCTGAAAAAATAAAGTGGGTTGCTCAAAAAGTACCATAAGCAAATATTCCATGGATATTCTTTAATCCTTAACTGCACTGCAGTCCTTTGTATTGTTTCGTTCCTGCTTTTACGGCATGGTTCAGTCAGTCCTCACTGCTACTTCTATTTAATCTTTTCTGTAGGCACAGACCCATTGCAGTCCAGCTTTCTTGTGAGTGGTTTCAAAAATATCTTGATCTGTGTGATTTCATCCATTTTTTCAGAGCCCAGCAACTCCTTTTGGTGAAGCTGCAGCGGTTGATGCACAGAGGAAGCAAAGATGAGACAGAAAACTCCTACAACACCCTTCGGGCACTGCGGGTAAATATCTACAAACAAAGTCTTTTAACACCTCATACTCCCCTGCTGCTGGTTTTTCATTTTTCATTTTTAATCATAATTTTAAAGAAATTCCTGTTTACACTATCTGTAGGTTTTGATTGTGTCAGGCAATGGGCACCTTCTGTTTGCTTTAAATAATATTGTCCCTGGGAATGAACCCAGCTCTGGCTCTCTATTAACCCTTCCAGCTAGGAGAGACTACACTTTAAAAGTCCAAAGTCTGTTCTGTGTTTTATTTTCCATTTACTTCTCATGCTTCTTTGCCTGTAAATGTTTAATGCAGTCTTCATGTACACGAGAAGAAGAAGCTGTGTCCTTGCAGTTAATAATCGGAATTATTTCTCTCCTATTGTGAATAAGCCTCTAAACCACAGAGTCTGTTGTCCCACTTCAGAAAGACCTGTCTCTTCCAGTGTGGATGCTGTGGAGAGAATTGGGATTATCAGGCCTTCACACACAACAGCCCTTCTTATTTTTCATTTTCCATCATTACAGCAATTTGATTTTTCTTTCTTTAGACCCCCAAATTCCATTTTTACATAATTAAAGCTGCCTTCCTGGTGTGTTAGTTACTGTAAGTTATTTTTAGAGTCTGGGAGACTTCATTCTGCTAAGTTTTGCAGAGACAGGTAGACAGTGCTTGTGCTTGATTTCAGTCAAGGTTAAGTGTCACACATTCCTTCTGTGCTCCCAGCCCCACTGATCAAAGGGACAGAAACCACTGGCAGAGGTGCTTGTGAAAGCAAAAACTGTGCATGCTCTTTCTTGGTGCAGAAATTATCTTTTTCTTAGATGTGGAGAGCAGTCTATGAACAAAGGAATGTGAAGAGCAGTGAAAAAAGCAGTGTTTGTCAGCACAGGCCATGCAGTGTCCCCTGTTTGTTTAGAACATTGCATTTGGGATAGGTATAAATCACTATCCCTTTTATTGGAAATATAAAATACCTGGTTTGGCTTTTTTTGTTTATCAAAATTTTATTTAAAAAAAATACAAAAAAGAGGGGGAGGGAGAAAAACTCCTATGTTATTTTTACTAGAATACATTGCAGCCAGAGGAGCCTGCCCTGCAGAACGACACAAAAACCAGCCCTCGCCTATCCAGAGCAAGCTTTCTTTTGGGACAGATTTTACAGGTAATAAAGTTCAAATCCTCAGTGCAATGTCTGAAATAGTGGATCTAAACAGTAGATATTCTCAGGCTATCCTAATTCACCCAGAAATCCCAGCTCAGGCCTAGAGGTTGTATCGGAATTTATTCCTATCAAAAAGAGATTTAATGCATGAAGGAGAAGGATGGGTTTTGTTTTCTTTTGTGATGTGGGGTCTTTGTTTTAAAGAGCATAGCTTCCATTATGGATGTACCTTGAGGAATCCCACACATCTGCCATCAGAGGCTGAAATGTGCTTTGTTTTTACCATAAAGACAAATCCAATGGGCAGGATCAAATCTCCAAGTCTCTGAGATAGGGCTCCATCAGAAAATAGTCCTTTAATTGTGGGCCAGTGACTCTGAGCATGACAGAGACTGTGTGGGTGCAAGATAAAGCTTTGTGAAGGAAGGTGTTTGGGAAAGGTTAGCAAATACACAGGAGGAGGAGTTAATGTTTGGATAGAGGAATAGGCAGGTGGATGAGGAAGGAAAGCACAAACCCTATTTCTCGTGTAAAATGACTGTTAAAAAGATGCCATTTGGGAGTTTTTAAGTCTCTCTGGTAGAGCAAAGAAGAGGCAGTTTGGGTATAACCTGTGATACATTAGTGCACATACTCTGGGTATGATGTACACATCAGTGCTTGTGCTGGTGGTAGCAGGGAGCTTTGTGAAGGGAAAAGATGCCTCTTAAGAGCAGAGAACAAAACAACAAACCCCAAAGGGGATTAACACAGGCTCTGAAACCGATCTATGATATTTAAAGAGTCTTAGAATTCAGTCCACAGATCCGTGGAGTCCTGTCTTTGATAGACACAAATGATTCAGATCTCATCGGTAATGAGTGTCAGCTGATGAATACATGGGAGCATAAATAATGCAAGAAATGAGGCTCAAATCTCTCCTTATTTTGTTCACCTTTTCAGTTTGTCAGTAGGTCTGAGAACAAATACAAACGAATGAACAGCAACGAGCGGGTCCGCATTGTCACAGGCTGGCCCTCGGGCCTGGCACTGAGCTCATCCGAAGGGAAAAAGCAGCTTCCTGATAAACTGGAAGGTACAAATCTAAAATAGCTTTTACACAGCACTGACACAAAGGCCTACATAAACATCTACAGAGCAGCATGGCTGCAAAATATATCACAGGTCTTGCATTTGTAGTCCACTCTGCAAAAGTTCAACAGCAATTGTAACCAAACCTGATTTTGCTAAGTGCTTCGGGCACTGAGCCTTCACAGGCAGCTTTAGAACACTAAAATGTCCTGTTTGGCTGGCAGTTCTTCCTAGGTCCTCTCTTGCCTTTTGCTCCAAAACATTTAACTTGGAGTAAGTCAAGCTAACAAGCAGAGAGTCTCCAAGCAAATGTTGAGTTGAAGAGGTTAAGAAATAATCTCTTGAAAGCAAAAGGCAGTTGAATTATTTAGTATTAGGTTGGACATCATAGTGCTGTGAGTATAGTAAAGACAACCCCAATGAAAGGGAAGGACCACATATGACTAACCATGTAATTTCTGATTCATATGTGCCTCTTTTCTTTTCTCCAAATATTGATGGAGAAGAACCCAGACGATAAATGTCTTGTTCTTTGCTCAGATGTGGATTCCGAGAGTGAAATCGATAAGAAGCTCAGTCTGATCCCTTATAGCTTGGTGAGACCCATCCACTGCGAGCGCAGGCGCCCCGTGCTGTTCACCCCCACCATGCTGGCCAAGCCCTTGGTGCAGAAGCTTCTCAACTCTGGAGGTGCCCTGGAATTCAACATATGCAAGCCAGGTAATGGGATAAGAGAGGGCCATGACTGTCAGCCCTCAGTGTTGGAAATATGAACATATATATGCATGCACACGTAGGGGAATGCACATGCGAGAGTTGCTTGAGGTACTTCAAGTCACATCAGAGTGATGTGTAGCTGTAAATCCTGCTTTTTGAGACTATCTGGGATATTTGAATGTTTTTGAGACAGCCAGTACACATGGTTATGAGATTCTGTGTCTATAAATATTATCCATGTGTATGCTGTGTGGTTGCTAGGCTGCCCCTCAGAGACTGAAATGCTGTGAGTGCTCTTTCTGTTTGCATACTGTTTGCATACTGCATATCTAGGCAATGTGAAATTTTGATTAATTTGTTTCTAGTATTTGCTATTATGAGGAATATCTTCCCTAGAGCGACTTTAGGTTTCTGTCTCATCCAAGCTGTGAAGATTGTGCATTTGATCTACTGGAAAGACTGATTTTCTTCCATGCTAAGTATTTACTATTAAAGCAGTATGCAGTGCTGTGATGGCTGCAGGGCAGGATTGTATACAACCCAGCATTAAACAGAGCTGACGTTTCATTTTTACACTAATATTGAATACCCACAGCATAGTATGCAGCCTTACAGTCATCCAGACAGAGAAACTGAGAAGTTAAGTATTATAATAAATATCCCCTGTCTTGCAACATAAAACAAAAGCTTTGATGTAGAGCTGCAATTCACAAGGGGGCCGGTATCACACATTGCAGCCTAAGCCAAATTTTTTTGAAACTTTAAACACAAGTGTTGGAACACTAAATCCTTATTTTAGGATCCTGTACTGAAGAGGCCACCTTTTTTTAGCACTTCTCAGCATCCTCCATTGCTGAACAGTTACTATATAACATTAGGTGCTGGAATTGTATTTACTGTTTTAATTTAATGCCTTCATAGCGTTGTAGTAATTGCCCAAGGACTCATTGGTGCAGGATATAGCTGAGATGCTCAGCTGTGATCAGATTAGGCTTTAATTGAATTCAATGGAAGAAATGAGGCAGCTGTTAAGACAATTCATTGCTCATCCTCCTTCCCTGAACCATCCTCACATCCCATGTAAAGTACTACTGGATACTTTTCTATGTGTTCTGCTGCTGTAAATTTGATTTTGTCCCCATCCACATCTCCTCCTAGATATTGTAACAAAGGAAGAGTTCTTAAGGAAGCAAAGGACAGAGACAGTCATCTTCAGCAGAGAGAAGAATCTGAACACATATGAGTGTATTGTACCTGCCAACATCGAGGCTGTTGCTCTCAAGGTGCTCACAGTGCTCTGTGTCCCTTCTTTGTGAACTTCTGTGCAATGTCTTGGATAACAGACTGGCCAATTTACAGTTGCACATTCTCTCTCCTGCCTTTCTTCAATCTCAGATTTTTATTTGTTCCCCCAAATGGTTTTTATTTGTGCACTTACTTTTCCTTTTCTTTCCCATCCTCAGCCATATTCTTTTGTATTCCCCCTCATTCCCTGTGACGACCCACATAGATGCAGTTAAATATACTTTCATTTTCTCTGCTCCATCCTTTATTCATTTCCTTTTCATATCATAAGTATATATGAATACACGAGAGAGTAAGAGATACAAGGACCTAGACAAAGGAAAGGGAAGCCTGAAACCCAGACACAGGGGTGTAAAGAACAAAGATTACAATGCCCAAGACACAGATCTGATGTCAAGTAGAGTAGATTTGATGCACAGCATGAAAAAAAAAGGAGAATTAAAGTGATGGGTTTTTGTCTCACAAGTAGCTGCAGTAGATGTTCTTTCTGAGCAAAAAGCAAGTCTGTGTGTTTGTGTCTATATGTAAAACTGGTATTTTATCATACTCTTCATCTTTAGAGCAATCCATTTCCATTTTAAACCTTTTTAGAAAGCTGTTAAGCTCAGCTGTTATTTGACTGACTAGTTTTAAAACAGTAGGAGGAGCTGGACTTTAAATGTATATTTGATTAAAAGGTTTTACATCAGTACAATGGTAAATAGAGTGCTTTCCAAATGACCCCATAAGGGATAGGTATCGTTATCTTGAGATTCCACAGCAATGAATTTTCCTTTGTGACACTGTTATGACTTTGTTTTTAGAACAAGCATTGTCTCCTGGAAGCTGGAATAAGCTGCACGAAGGATTTAATCAAAGCCAAGATATATCCTATTGTTCTCTTTATAAGAGTCTCAGAGAAAAACATCAAGAGGTTCAGGTAACATGTCAAACCTTTTGCATATTTGATATTCCGTCTTATTCAGTGAATAATTATTGAGTCCTATAATGTTCTCACTGAGAGAAATAAAGAACCTCATCCCTCTCCATCTGCTATTTCTATGTGCACTCTTTCCTCCCATGACTCCTCCCTGAAATCTAACAACCAGAGAAAGCAGGAATTCCCCAAATCTGGCACTCCTTCGCTGTCACTGGTGGCAATGAGCATTGTGGGAGGATGAGACAGAAGAAAATGTGGTTTTCTCTATGCTCAGCACTCCCACAGCATTTCTTAAGGTAATGCAAGCTGGAAGAGGAGCGCTCGTAAACACTTGCACTCTCCCTCCATTCAATCCTCTTGAATTGTTTCCCTATAGCAAATATTTCTCTTTGGGGGCAGCATGGAGGTAAGGGGATGGTAGACCTGAAGTAGCTGCATTCCTCACTGCTTTTATTGCTTGTAAGTAGTTAGAAGAAAATAAATTCTTGATGGGACAGCTGGGACTACAGGATTAACTTAAAATGCAAGACATTTCTTTTTGGTCTGCTCATTTGATACAGGAAACTGCTGCCAAAGCCGGAGACTGAGGATGAGTTTTTACGGATGTGCCGCCTGAAGGAGAAAGAACTGGAAGCACTGCCTTGCCTTTATGCCTCTGTGGAGTCAGAGGTGTGGAGCAGCATTGAGGATCTTATCCGGACAATAAAGGACAGGATCGGGGAAGAGCAGCGGAAAACCGTCTGGATAGATGAAGATCAGCTATAAAAAGCCCCAAGTAACAAGGAGCTCTTTGGTGAGGAAAGGACATACCCAGGTGGAGCAGGGGTTGACAGAAGTCTCTGGTTAGGTGCCCAGAGCTCACTCCTGTTTCACCCTTGCTGGCTGGGCACTTCCTGCTGGCAGGATGCATGTCTGGAACAGGACTGGAGCTGTGTTGAAGAGCCAGAGTCTCAGATGCTGAGATCCAGGCTGTGGGGCCACCACCACAATTCCTGATCCACTGGCATTTCTTAAGGGACAGCACCTGTTTAACACATGAGGACAAAGATCTTGAGAGGGAGCTTGGGGTAATTTATTATGTTCAAAATATGGATCTCTTTTGTCTTATTGAAAACTTCTGATGAGACCAAATAAGTGGAATCTGAAAGGGATAAGGCACGGGGACTGGGCTCCAGGATGTGGAATTGAGATGTGCCCCACACCCCCTGAGGTGAGATTCTGAACTTACCCAGTTGAGGAAGCTGAAGGCTGGCTGGGAGCAGCAGCAACACAACTGCTGATGGCCAGAGCAGCTCTGTAGCCCTGTTTCTTCACAGTCATTTTAATCAAAAGAGAAGAAAATATCTATTCCTCCTGGCATTAACTAAAATGAAAATTTTCTCTTCCTTTTGAAACCCCGTTTTTATTTAACAGTTTTGCAAGTTTCCTTTGTAGTCCTGGTGCTTACAGGAAACAGACTTCACTGTCCCAGTGGCACATCAGATCTTTCCAGATCTGCCAGTGTTTCATTTAGTTTATCCCTGCCTCTGCATCACATTCATCTGTACATCTCTCAGTTTTTAACATTTTTTTTTTACTCACGGAAAATACCACAGTGCCTTCTTCGGACAACAGGTTTCTCTGTTTCTTCACTGAAATATTTCTCTACAACATCATTGCCTGCCAACATGCCTGTTCTCTACAGGAGGGACTATTCTTAGTAGGAAAGGAGAATTTCATAAGCCAGTAATTGCTGTGAACCACTCAGTCCTTGACCTGTGTGCCATGACTGAGAGCGAGGAGACCAGCGGGCACCACGCTGTGCTGTGGCCAAGTGGGATAATGCTTCCAGAAGTGTGTGTAGAGCTGTGGAGACCATGTCCCGTTTTCAAAAGCACTTAAGTCCTCAGAGAGTTTAAGTTCCACTGCTCATGAGTGTGACTTAGACTCCTAAATCTCTTCAGTCTTTGAAATCTTTCCTCTCGACATTAGACGCTGTACTGAGATTGCCAAATTGATCCAATAAAACTGACCTGAATATAATGACTCACGCAATTGCTGATCTGAAATGCAATAAAAATTGACCTACAGATGAAGAGTGGTCCATCCCATTGTCCTTAGAACCTTCATTCCTTGCCATATCCCTCTCTTTTAAAGATGCATTTAATAACAAATTTCTTTTCCTTCTGCATTCATTGCCAGTCCCCCATCTTGGTGCTGTGGACTGATGTACAGGAGCCCACAATAAAAAAACAATCAGAATCTAAACAGAACATCTGGCCTGGTTGCCTTCACTAGATTAGCTGCTCCCTTGCCTTTGCAACAAACTTCTGCTGTGGGTGTCTCTCAGGTAGACTGGGTCAGCTCATGTTGGCTTGTGGGACTATACTTTTCTTTTATGCTCTTTTTTCTTTTATGCTCTTCTCTTTTATGCACATAATTTTTTTAAGTAATGGAATCTTCGAGAAGTAATTTATGTCACTTTACATCTAATTGCTGCTGCTGTGTTTCTCAAGTTATTAATGTTTGAAAGAATGCTCATAGCTAGCACTTCTCAGAGAATAGCTCTTTACCTGCCCAGTGCCATCTGCTTGGACTGTGCAAGCAGGGGGATACTTCCATGTGCAATCTCTTTACAAGAAGGACAGGCTGCACACAAAATTTGCAACTCCCTCCAGGGCAAAGAATAACAACCAGTTGGGGTATATATAGAACAAATTGGATGATTCTTCAGAGAATATGTAGCTCAAGCAGAAATCAGAAACCATCAGCTGGAAGAATTAAGCCTTCCAGGAGCATTTTGCATTCATTCCTAATGTCCTGATAATGCAACCTTGTGTAACAGCTGCCCATGGTTTGTTCCTGCCCCTCTTGTGAAAGCTTTTGAGTCCACAGCAGAGCAATGGGAGGGACTGCAGGAACATTTCTCAGCTGCTTCAGCAAAAAGTTCAGCCAGGTCAGCGTCAGATGCCTCCAGGAGCCAGCAGCTGACTGCTCGCCGGGCAGCGCGTGGAGGATGTCCGTGTGCCACTGGCTGTGCCACAGGGATCGCTACCATCTGCTGGAATGGCTGCAACAGATGGCAGGTGGGGCAGAGGGGATGGACTGTCTCAGAATGCTGGGGTTGTTTCTGCAGTGATCTCCTCTCCCCACAGCTTTATGCCTCTTTGCATGGACAAAGCTGCAGATGTGATTTGTCCCACTTCACTTTCAGCACAGGAAAGGCATATGCCAAACTCTGGAGGAGGCTCCTTTGCAGTGAGCAGAGATACTCCTCCAAAGAGCTGTTTCTCTGCCTTATTGGAGATGGCTATCTAAGGGTGAGATGAATTGCCCTCTGAACTGTCTGGGGTTTTCATAGACTACAGCCAGAAACAAGAGAATTAGCCTGGCCTTTAGCATTTAGCTCTTTGATCTGTAATTTAGGCAGCTAAACCACCTTATGGGAAAAGTGGCAGAGAACAAGAGATCTAATTATTTCTGTGAAACAAGAGAGGAATGGATACATGAAGTGGACCTTTTTTTCATGTCCAAGCGCCTCTGTAAATTCCCAGCTCTGCAGACACTACAGGGCATTGTGGTTGTCTGCTCCTGTGATGCAAAACAACCAGACCCTGTCCAGTGCAGTTCATAGCACAGCTGAGTGCTGTACCCTGCACAAACCTCATCTCTCTGTGGCTCAGTGGAAGAGGACTGAAAACTCTGTTCCCTCTTGACTTTTGGGTGTGAAGTCCAAGAGCAGATCCATAGCTGGGGTGGCACTGCAAAAGGAGCCCAAAGCAGCCACTGTCATTTACACTGGCTGGGAGGTGCCTCTGCTCTGGAGCCAAGAGCTGTCCCTCTCAACTGAAGGAAATTAACCCCTGCACCTTCTGAAATACATTCAGATTTGAAAAGAGGCCATCATTTTCCCATTCCATTTCCATTTCATCATCAGTCAGTCCATTTCCCATCATTTCCATT